AACACTTTATTTTTTTTCTCTTAGCAATCTTATTTGAAATATTTTGACAATACTATCATTATTTCAATTAAACTTCAAATAATCTTTTAATACAAAATAATATATAAATTAAATCTTGAATAGAAATAGTATTGGCTTTTATTCTTTTGTTTTATTAAAATCTAAAAATATACTTTGCATGTCAGCAATTTTTTAATTACAAGTAATCTACCTTTAAATAATATAAAGATTTATCAATGTATATATATCTATACGCTTTTATATTTTTTACAAAATACCCTTGTGGCATACTTCATATTTGTCATTTTATTGAAAACGATGATGTACTTATTATTAATTGGAATGCTATACGAATTAGATTGATATATATTTCACCGAAATTCTTGTGTCTATTTGATTATTAAGGTAAATATCTAATACAATGTTTTATAACGAAAATACATTTCTCAAATATGATTAATTAATTAATGCTTATTATCAGGTTCATTTGACAACGTAGTTTTTTTAACCTTGACACTCGTAATTGATCAAATTGACGTAAGCCTTATATAAAGAAAACATGCACAAATATTTAATTTAATAATTTTTGATCATAGATTTACCTAATTCATACAACAAATACTCTCCTTTCTTTCTGAGCCACTATATTTTCCAACGGAATCTTTACATTTCTTATCTATACATACAGACTGCTGTTTCCGAAGCCCATGTCACGTTAAATATATATATACACATTGATTCTGTCATTTGTGTTTCACATTTCTAGTCTTCTTTATTTCTTTCTTTATTGATTAATAAGTAGATTATATTTGTGTGATAGTTAGGTCGAGCAAACTCTGCCATATATATTAGTTTGTCTATTAGCCAGACTAGAAAAAAAAAAAGGATAGAATGAAAAATTTTCAAGAGATATAGAAACCTTTTTTTTTCTCTCATCAAAAGAAAGAAAAAAATAGTAGAGAAAACAGCGAAGAAAAAGAAATGAGTTAGTTTTCATCATGCCATTGCCTACATACAAATGATCTTTTTCTAGAAAAGAAGAGGGAGAATAAAATATAATATTTCTATACGTTCTATAAGTTTTATAAGTGACAAAAGTATTGTTCTTTGGTAATAAAAAACTTTCTTCTTTAGTTAAGTTAATATAACTATTATTTCTTTGTTTTTTTTATTTCTAGATTAAAAAAAACAAATTATGGGTTCAACACGAAGTAAACTAGATGATAATGTTTATGAATCAATAGCGAAATATACTGAATTAAAACGAGATGATATTATAGCATGGGGAGAACGTTTTGTTCAACAATGTGATCCAGGTTCAACAACAATGAATAAAGAACAATTTTGTAAATTTTATCAAGAACTTCGACCAACTGAAAATGTTAAACGTTTAAGTGAAAATGTCTTTCGTGCTTTTGATTTAAATGGTGATCATGGTATTAGTTTTTCTGA